TTGCAATATATGAGACTGTGATATTCTTAATTAGAGGTCTTAGATTTGAGATTGAAGTATGAAAAAACTTCTAATATGAAATACTTTCATACAAAATAAGGCCCTATATATTATAAATTCGAATTAATCAAATTCCAATACAGATTGAGAAGCAAAAAATAGCATATGAAACTAATTCATTTTCTCAAATATGTGGCATTGGTTAGTTCACAAGAAAAAAATATCCCAAACCTTTAAAGTAGAACTTTCCACCCACAAGCCTCAGCCACACAACAGTGTAGTTACGTGACCACACGGTTTTTCTTTTCCTTATCCATCTCTGTTTTGTAGTGTCAACGCAGATTACGTAAATTCAGTAGAATTTAATATTTTTTGGATCGATTCATATATTTGAATTGAATTAAACGAACTAAACAAGATATTTTGATCAACTTACACTTGGATAAATTGAACGAGTTATAATTTCATGTCTAATTTTGTCGACTATGCTCAAATGTCTTTACGTGCCTACTAAATTTAAGTTCAACGTGTATATGCATTAAATTTGGAAGTAGGGACGATAGAAAATGTTGACTGCTGACTAATTGTTTCACATCGACAATTGACAACTTGGCCAAATTTAAAAGTTCTTGTTGTCGGCAAATTAAATAATTGTGTAATGTATGTGTTATTATAAAAATAAAATTTATTATTTTTATTTGATCTTTAACAATAATGATATATATTTGGGTTCTTGAGATTGAAAAGATATTAATTTGTAGGGTTTAATTTCATTCTCAACTCAAATAGTTTGAAATGTGATAAAAGATCACAATATCCATGTAAAAATATAATTGAAAAACTATATGAATTGGACAAAACCCAATACATTAGGGGTGATTGAAACCATAATCCAAAATAATTACATGAATGTCATGACGGTTGTACTATTCGCTGAACCACTGTTGATATCATCGGATTACATATATATTTTGATGATATCTATATGATGATATTTGTAATTATGATAGTATTAAGTAGTAATTGAGCAGTTTTATACTGAAAAGTTTCATCTTCCTCCTCGATGTCATCAAAATATATTAAGGAGTAATTGAATAGTGTTTTCACTTAAACGTTTCATCTCTTTCTTTGATAACATCAGAGTGTGTGTGTGTCTATATATATATATATATATATATATATAGTAATAGTTAAAAACAAGAGGGTATGAAAATAAGAAAGGTAGACGCTTGTAAATAGTTTCCCTTTTACTTAAGAGCAACTTTCACATATACAAAAGAAGCAATTGTATAATTGCTGGCTCCTCTTTCAGATTTGTATAATTACGCTGGCAGACCATTTGTATAAATGGCTGTCAGTTTCTCGTTTATATAAATCATTGGCATCCTCTTAATTCAATTTCATGTTTTTGTATATCTGTATAAAGTTTGAATTTTAATAAAAATTGAATCAAAATAAAACGTTTGTATATAAAATATCGTTCTCTCTCTCTCTCTCTCTCGCTTTATACAAACATAAATTATACGTCGTATTTTGTATAATTTGTGTTTGTATAAAGTGAAAAAGAGAGAAACGCAAAAGAGAAGTGGGCATGAGAATATTTGTATTGTATAACTATAAGTGTATAAGATGAAGATATATGTAGTTGCATGTGTATATACAATTTTCTCTCGCTTTATACAACAGAAACACAATTTATACATTTTTGATTGTATAAAGCTAGAGAGGCAACGACAAAGGGAGCAAGCGAGAGAGCAAGGGTGGCGAGCGAGAGTTTGAGAAAAAGAAACGACTGACAAACAATTTGTTACATAATACAATTCAATCAAAATGTAATTATATCATTTAATTTAAATTAATAGTTTATCATTATATACATTTTTTTAAATTACTACGTGAGTTTCTTCCCCAAATATAATTGCATTTATTGTGTAATCTCAAATATATTGGGCTAGTCCATTTTACAAAAGATGAGCCCACTTTATTTGTCTAAAATCTAAATAGCCATCAGTCAATTTTAAAGTCCAAATTCATATCACGTGTTAGATAATGTTCAATTAAATGTATCATTAAAATTATATCACGTGTCAAATGAAGTGATAATCCAAATCAGATAAGACATTGAAATCATATCAAAATAGAGTGATAATCAAAGTTAAATTAATACGCTGTTGAAATCATATCATAGATGTGATACTGTAGATCAAATAAATGAACCAATGAAATTATGTCAAGTGTACAAATGACATGTTTTGACCAATCAAATTGAAGCCTATCACTAAATAAATGTGTTTGATCATACAATCTTCAAACCAATCAATCAAACCATACAACTACTTCACCACTTTTTACAACTATAAATAAGGATTCATAATTCACAAAAAAGGAGAACTTAAGTACAAGAAGTAAGAACCAAATATTAAAGCATAAAATAAATCAAATAATGCTTATAAAAATATGTTCAAATCATCACATGTGAGATTAAGAAAATTAGATCCTTAGCTTGTTATGTACTTCCTTTTTTTATTTTGCTCCAATATTACTTATACGAAATTGATAGAACAATAAACAAAGATACGCATTTATCATTTTAAATGTCATGTTCTATATTTGATAAAAGAAAATGGTTTAATAGGAAAATGGGGATCAATCCATGAGCTTTTACCTAAGGCAAAAATAATGAACACATCATGTGCTATGTAAAAAAGAAAAAAAGTAAAAGAAAACCTAGAAAAAGATAGACAACATGATAAACGATCTATAGTGTTATTGATCGGGATCTACAGTGTAATCTACGAATTCACGTGAATTTAATATCTTTTCGTTCAAACTTTATAATGTATTAAGAAATTTATTTAAACATCTATAAATATTTACTTGTAAACAAGATCTTGACGGGGCTTTAGCACAAAGATCAATAGGTTAAATTAAAATAGAAATATATTTCAAGAGAGAAAATTTATACTAGGTAATATAATCCTTGTAGTAGATCAAAGAGATGTGGTGCATCATTTATATTATGTTAATAATTTTGTAGATTCTTCATACAATTATTTAATTGAAATGATAGTATAGTCCAATGAAGCTTAATTATATGCTAAAAGTAACATTAATACACTCAAATTATATCCTAAGGTAAAAAAAAAATGAGTATTTATATTTTGTCACGATTTCTCCAATTATGAATATTTAAGAGATATTTTCAATAGAACCAAGACCGCCTATTGATTTATCATTTAGCCCATACTTAGCACATTTGCCACCTCTTTATACTTTACGTGATTTACTCTACATCACAAAAAATTCCCAAACCACAAGTTTGTAACTTGAAACACAATAAACTTCACCCTCTTTCCTCTTTACCTTCACTCTTCCTTTCCTCATCTTTCACCTCAAAAGGAAAGGAGATCATAGGAAAAACAAAAGTCGAGTTGATTTCACACCTCTTTACCTCGCGCTCACCACATTGTTTCATTTACAATCCGACCTAAAAGATGGCTACTAGGTCAAGATTGGCGGTCGTGCTCCTATTAACCCTAGCTATGGCCATGGTAGCAGAGTCGTCGTTCTCACACTTGGACTCTACCACCATGGCCTTTAAGGTTCAAGGGAGCAATGACAACAACATTGGACATGTTGGAGACATGTTGTTTGAGGATGAAGAGATGATGATGCCATCCGAATCAGCCCGTAGAACACTCGATGAGCGCGATCACATCGGTTATAGAGCGTTGAGGGCTAATAATATTCCATGCGATCAACGCGGTGCGTCTTATTATGAATGTAATCGTATGTCAAAAATTAATCCTTATAGACGTGGTTGTCAAAGAATTACTGGTTGTGGACGCACAAATAGTTGAAATTAATTAACGTATAAAATGCATGTATGGAATATTAATATTAATATTTCATGCATGCATGCGTTAACGCTAAAAATATATTTAGAAATACATGAGTTGGTAACTTCTTTTTTTTGATAAACTACTATATATATTTTTGTTTTTACTAAATTCGTAGAGAATGATATATTAAGAAGATTACCAACAACAAGGAAATAATTAACTTTTTACAAGTTTTTTTATTTCCCTTTCTGTTGTTTAAACTATACTGTATACCATTATTGAATATGATTTTTGTAAATTTAAGTATATGGTGAAATAAATTACAGATTGTCATTTTTACTTTGTTTTCCTTTCGATTATTTTTCAATTTTGTACATCTTATGTAATTTATTATGTGTATGCTTCGTAGACTACTAGATCGATCAGTAATGGAAAAAATCGTACAATATAAACTAAAAGAAAATAATTATACAAAAATTTGTGTATTTTCAGCATTTCAACAGGTTTGTAGTGTATTTCAAGAGTGAACATATTTTCTGCATTTTATGGCTATTAGACTGAATTTAGGGTTTCTCTGATAATTTTCCATTAATTGTTAATAATGGACTAAAATTAATTAAGGTTCATCTTTTCGCCTACCAAGCTTAGCTACTTCATGATTTGTAGATGATCACCTAAATAATATTTATACGTAATTGTCTAATTAGTGTCGGTAAAATGAATCTATATTTTGGTAATCCGCTTAATCCACCTATATTTTAATGGGTTGAATGAGTGATTTTTTACCTGAATAAAATATGATTCAAACCCATATTATGGTATTCATGAGTTAAATATATTGACCCATTTTCAACCTGCTAAAATTTTACTTAACCTGTCAATTTACCACCACTAGTCTAGATGAACTTGTTGGAATAGAAGGATCAGGATGACAAATCGAAACAAGTATAAGGGTCTCTTAGCCATTCCATCGAATGAAAATACTAGCCAACTTTGAAAGCCTTCTATGTTTTTCCACTTAAAAACAACAGCAAAAACAAAGTGTGAATTGAGTCTCATCAATCACTTGTTGAATTTTAATAATAACATAAGGTAAATAGGATTTTTTTTTTGGGGTTTGTGGGGGGGGGGGGGGGGGGGGGAGGGCAAACACTTGAATAGAAGAACATAAAGGAGGAAGAAAAACTAGAATGAAAGGAACTGTTGCAATCTACAAAAAAAAAGTAGCTATAAGCATTAGATTTCTCATGAGTCTAGTAGCAATTGTACTGGCTAAGCAAATACAATCAAAATAACCACCATCTCCTTCGTCCATGCTTTCTCTGCACATAAAGTTAATACATATTCTTTAAGTGACTGCTTTCGGAAACGGATAATGGGGCTTGAAACAAAAGGCTACAAGTGAAGTGCACAATTAATTTGGGTTCATACAGAGGAAAAAACCCCTCATATGCAATAACTCACAAATCATACAGGAGAGGTAACTTGCTCTAGGCAAGCCCAGTGCAATGAGCTATACCGAGAAGGCAAACATCTTGCTCTCACTGGCAATAGGTTTCGCTGGTGGGGTTGGCATCACGAATCTATAACACCAGTGCAGAGCCCTGAAGATGAAATGGCTATGGAGATATGCACAAGAGCCTCAGACCCTATGGAGTAGTGTCATAAAAAGGAAGTACGGGGAAGAAGATTGTTGGGTACCCAAGGAGGTCACCAGTCCATATGAGGTCAATTTGTGGAGATCCACGAGAGCCTTGTGAGCTTATCTTGAAAAATACTTAATGATCAGAGTGCACAATGGAGTTAGGACCAAGTTCTGGAAAGATAAATGGATAGAGACAAGGTCATTGCAAGAATTGTTCCCAAATCTTTTTGACCTTGCCCAAGATCAACACAACAGTAGCTGAGATGTGGACTCAACAAGGATGGATATGAGATTCAGAAGAGGGATGAATGATGGGGAGATCCCAAGAGTGGTTGAACTATTCAAATAAATAGAGAGCTTTCAAGGGGCGCAAGAAGGTGTAGATTGTTTGTGCTGGAATGGACACCCTAAAGGACTTTATAAAGTCAGCTCAGGGTGTAAGTTGTTGAATCAAATAGAACCAATGAATTTTTTTGGCCTTGGAAGAAGACCGAGATTCCATAAAAGTTTGCATGTTTTATGATTTACTTGGTTCTAGCTAAAGAAGCTGTCCTAAATCATGAGTTTTTGATTAAGAGGACGATATTACTATGCTCAAGATTTTTCTTATGTGAAAATGAAGCTGAGACAATAAATCACTTGTTCCTACAATGTAGTATCACAGATCAGCTATGGAAGATTTTCATCAATTGTAGGGGCATAGCATGGGCAATGCCAAGCAAGATTACTGACACTCTTTTGGCTGGGAGGAAGCTGGAGCTGGAGCAGGTATCGGAGAGATGGAAAATCATCCCTTCATGTATATGGTGGACAATTTGGAAAGAAAGAATGCTAGATGTTTTGAGGAGAGGTGCAATTCAGTACAAAAGATTAAGCAAAATTGTATTATATTATTTTGCTTTTGGTGTACTAAATTGTACTCTGGGGATACAAAATCAATCCTAGATGTGCTAGACACCATTAAGGTTTGATTAATTTTTGGCATACTCTGTATCTAATCTCACTCTTGTCAATATGGTTTTTCAGCACTTAGGATTCAAAAAAAAAGTATTTTGTCAAAGAGGCAGAAGTACCTTTTGATCCTGATTCCTTTCTGACTCCATAACAATAGGTTGAGGAAGTACAGTATTGTCGATATTCTGAATGTATGGTCGTACCTTCTCCTCCAACATTTTGTTAAGCTGAGATATGAACAAAAAATAACAGAGAAGAGAACATATCAGCAACTAATATCAGTAATATAGATGTTTATTTGTCCGACAAAAAGATATCGGGAAAATATGAGATAATTGTTAGTTCAATCAAATTGTAGACACCAGCTACACACAAAAAATATGAATCAAGATACATGTTTCAGATGCCAGAGAAGGTACCCGTACCACACATACAGTATTGTCAGTCATCTGCATTCCAGAGATAGAACTTTAAGGGGTTGTTTGGTAGAATGTATTAGCAAAAGTAATGTATGTATTAACTCTGTGTATTAGTAATATCTTGTTTGGTATATTTTTTCATGCTATGTATAACTAATGTACACTCTATTGTACATTAAGATGTGTATTACTAATACCATGGATTTCTAGATATTAGTAATGCAAGGGGTTTTAATGCATGCATTAGCATAGTTAAAGACTTATTGCCCCTGAAAATCTTTTTTACATCTTTTTGAACATAATTGTGAAGGGTTTCTTTAGTCAGTAAATATTTTTATGCAATGCATGCTATTTTTAATACACCAAAGCAAATAAAGCATAAGAAATCTATGTATAATTAATGCAAACATTACTAAGCATTATCAATGCACCTCTTGAAGACTCATGTCTAGAACACGCTTAAAATCATTTTCACGAAGTTCAAGAATGTACATATTACAGGTAATAAATTTGAAGGAGATAGTCAAGACTTTTGCTTGAATATCATTTAGTTAAGGTGCCACTTCATAATACTTCGCGCTACAAGTTGTATTGGACTTTGCCACACACTTTAAACTTTTGAATACTTTTTTAGAAGAGTAAGCTACTAAGAGACTTCTTCTCTACATTCAGCAAGAAACAAATTGAATAGGAGAAATATTACATTCCTGGAGATAAAGTCATTCAATCTGAGGCAAAGAAAATAGGAGTATTGATTATCAGGAAAATTCTTAACCAGTTCAAACTTGAAAGCACAAACTAGCAGGCACAAGAAAGAAAAATTGTACTTCAGTGAAGTCACTATGTAATACTTTACAAAGCAAGCAAAATACCAAAACAGAGAGAGGGTAAAAGAAATTCAGAAGCGGCATACATTTATGGATCTTTGAATTATTATTATGAAACTGGAGCCATACATCTAATTTGTTTGTTGTTGTTTTTTCGCGCTTCTGTGATTGAACAAGAACATCAAATTCTATCCTAGCAGTTTAATCAGTAAAATCATGAGGGAAACTAAAGTGTCCATGTTTAAGGGAAAAGGTCAAATTTGTCCAGATGAACAGGGTTAAAAAATAATCAGAAACCCATACGACATTTTTTTCCCTCTTCGTATCTAGACAAACAGCAACTAAGCCTTAGTCTTAAACAAGTTGGGGTTGGTTAGAAATTCTCAATACTCTCTACTGACATTTCAGGAAAAGAAATCTCTGATAGACCAACCTTTTCTTCTCTCCATTTCGCTTCCCACTGGGCATCCAGCATCTTTTCAGAAATTTCTCTCTGTGCATTAAGAAGAACTGTCATCTCATAGAGCTTTTTTGGGTCTTTGAGGTCCTTTTCACTCCAAGAAGATGCGTTTAATGGAAGGTTCAACTCCTGCAAATGGTTGTATTACCCCGTATGAATATAAGGAAAATAACAATAACAATAGAAGAGCAAGAGAGAACTTCCTGACAAATCAACAGCATGCTGACCTTCCAAATTAATCACTTGAACTTAAGATGCGGAGGAAATTTTAATACACACTTAAGACAGCCGATAGAAGCAGAACTTTCCCGTCTTTTTTAGCTTTTCTAAGGGGACTTTGTCGGAAAAACAAGTTATCTAATGTACAATGGTTATTCACAATAACTCCAAGATAAACCATACAGAAAATAGCGGGCATTTAAACAAGAATGTAACTAGAAATAGTAAGAAATTCTAGTAAAGATAAAACATACCCCCCAATTTTGAGGACGCGGCGGAGGGTCAAGCTTCATGACTTCTGCCTCCAGAGTTTTCTTGGCCTTGAAGTAAGGAACGTTTTTCACAATAATAGGATCTTCTCTTGCTCGGGCAGGATCAATAGAGACCAAGGCCTGTAAGATAATTTAGTCAAGAAAGTTGATCGGGATATTACTCAGACATATTTACCACAAAAAAAAAATGTCATACTTCTTGCAAATACTCCCATCCAGGTTTTCTCTTGGCCACCACATCTCGAAGTTGATCATATCGCATAGATTCCTGGAATGCAAACACGACTACATAAGCTGTCAGCAAAATCTGGCTTCCAAGTGTTCTAGACTTCCAGACTATGAAACCCTCAAATAGGTAAAAGATGAAATAAAATAAGGCAATCAATTTCATCTGTCATTTTTCATAAAAGCAGATGCCGATGAATTTAGTTTGAATCTATTGGATCTATATGTTGTCTTTTATCAATATATTTTACGTGTGAAAATGTTAATTTTGCAACAAGAAGACAACTTCAGAACTTCATTATAATCATAGATGAAAACTCAAAAGTCATCTCTTCAATGAGTTTAACAGTCGAAATGGCTTTTCTCTGAACGTCACAGCCAATTGTACAAGGCTTGTATTGTGAGATTCCGCAATAGCTAAAAGAACTTTGATTATGCAGATTGAAGGGAATTGTGGTACATAAATCCTTAAAAGGAGGGAAGAGGATGAGAAAAACAACAGAGACATCAATAAAAGACCTGTTACTTGACATCGAGTGGCGGATGTTTGTAGATAAAGCTGAATAAAGCAAATGGGTTCCTGACTTCCTGTATCCGAACCCAGCAATAGGATAAGGCTTACTGGGACTTAGGTTGAAACTCTACCACAGTTAATCTTTGCATAAGAATTTCGAGATAAAATAATCATCTGAATAGAACATATATGATTATGAAGCATGAACTTCTTTTACCATTGACAGGGCCATGAACTATAACAAAGAGTCAAAAATGTAAAAATAATTTTTTATCTACATTTTCCATTACACTGGAAGCTCTTTTTCTTTCACAGGGATTCAAAAAGTTATATGCATACAGAAAATTGCTTTTATCCTATTGCAAAGATTAATTTTTGGATGAAGGGGATTCAATTGAATTCCCTTCTTTACACGTGGCTCAGCCGCTGTTCCTTGCCAATATATCATTGTTCAATTTTTACCAGAGTGAACTTAGATGAAGCATGTTTACACAGAAAGAAAAAGAATATGAAGCATTTTGAAATCAAACAGCACAAAATTGAACTCCCGCCATTCCAATTTTTGTGGCAATTTGAATAGGAATGGACTTTAAGAAAGGAAGATTTTTGAGACTGATGATCATAACCATGTCTCAAAATTTAAGATTTGTGTGGCTTTAAGGCTTTAGAAGCCTGTGGTTTTAAAAATTCCATAACATGTGTGGCTATAAAATCTTCTCATTAAAGGTACATTGGAAGTACTTCTTCAATCATTTCCTAATTTAGAAAGTTGTCATTCTTAAAGGAACAAACTAAAAGGGAAAGGTTGCCAAAGAAACTACAAGGAAGTGAATACATTGACCACAGGGCATTGGTATGTAGCTCTATGTACAAGTCCTAGATTCACAATCAACTAGATGATGAACTCTCTTGATGTTAAGCTGATTCCAAAATTTTCTTTTGAGCATTAAAAAAGGAAACCTTAACAAATCATGTGACTTGAACTTGGATATTTTGAGAAGATTCCATAGATTACTTTCAATCTATGTTTGCTCGAACCCTTCAAAAATGTCAACGGGTGTGTATGAGATTCTCCAAAAGTAGCATATTTTTGGAGAATCTGACACGGGTGCGACATCGAAAGTGAAGAGTCCGCGCAACTTAGCTTTCAATCTTATTGCAAGTTCAGAAATTTCCTGTGTATACTTGTGCAAAAACCTCATTCTACCAATAAAGCGTGTTGAAAATTTTCATTAGTAATTGGTATAAATTGAGTTACATGAGTTCGGTGTCATCCCCTTCAATCTTGCAAACTCTTTTTCAGCTTTAGGGATAAAAGAAGCCAGAAGACAAAAATAAAAAAGGTATACTTTGGATTTTGACAGGATAGCATTGGTTACTTAGAAGTTCTCTAATGCACTACCTGGAGGAGCGGCATTAGGAAGTTGAATTCGATTGTAAGTTTCTTCCTTTTTTTTTAGCATCTCATCCTTTGCTGATGTGAGTAACTTCCATATTAATCAAAGTTAAATAGGTTGCTAATCAGTTCAAGTTTGTTTCTGGTGCACTTGAAATAGGGTGAGCATATTTATCTGATTAATATAGAGTTCGCCTCTTCTTTTTATTTCCTGTTTCAATGTGTGCAATAATAGAGTTCAAAATTTACAGATACTAAAGCATGTGTTATGGGCTCTGTAAAATGCTCAACATTCACAAAATAACTGAGCAATTATGAATAGCAAGGGGAAAAAAGCAGTCTTTGACAACCATAAGATAAAAGTAAACCTTATATTGCCACCAAATCTTCTTCTTGACATCATCATCATATTCAAATCCACCCACAATCTGAGGCAAGGTAAGCAACCAAAATGCAGCAATGCTGGGGTCCTTCATACTATCAACAATATGCTGTAACAGTAAAGAAGAGGAAAATGATAAAGTGCAAAGTTGTAAGGGGCTTCTTATACTTGACTTTTCTATAGAAAATATTTGAGAACTCACACACTTATAAGCAAGACAATCTGGTGAATAGGATGATCACAAATATCTACTGGGGAGTAGGCAATGAATAGAACATGAGAATTTTCTCTCCCAACTTTAGCTTGTCATATAAAAGGAAAAGTAACCAGAAAGAAGAAACATATTTCCTTTGAACCCTTTTTCTCCATAAAAAATAGGAAGGAAATCAATTCTTCTTCATTTGAAAATCCTTTCCCACTTCCCAACAGCATGAGAATCTTTCTTCTCATCCTTTGAGATATTGAACAAAAAAAATGTAAATCAAGCAATGATGGATGAGATGCAGCGAAAAAAAGAACATTTACAGTAAGCAGTATTAATTGTTACAAAACAGAAACAGGGATGACAAAGCACTAGCCTCGTAAGGATAATCCATCTTCCTCATGATATTATAAGCTTTCCAAGGAGGCTCCATAATCTGTAGCATTGAAAGATTACACAGACATGAGAATGACTAAAAGGTAAATCAAAACCGAAAGAAAAGGAGGAAAAAAAATTCTTCCTAGAATGAAAATTCACGACATCAAGAATACAAATGGGAAAAAAGGACATTATTTAGTGTTCATTTTATTTGCCATTCCTCTTTACCATACTCAAGAGTGTAGAAAACTATTCCTGGTTCACTAGATTTCTAGGTTTTCCCCATGGATGTGTTTTTATGACTCATTTCTGATTACCTCCTCTTGTTTGCAGATACCAATATTTTTCCATACTCCATTTTAACGGCATTAATCAATATAGTGGAACAGATTTATGCACATAGAAACCTTTTACATGAACATCTATCAACTGTGACGAAATTTAGCATAGATACCAATTCTTGTTCATACACTTTTACTTTATCTAGAGGCATATGAAATGGATGAGCGAAACAAATGAAATAGTTTCCCAAGATAAAACTCTTCACTAATGGAAGCAGACCTCGTGACAGGCTGCAGGTTTTCACAGTCTCTAAGTTTTAGCATGAGTAGGAAAGGGTTATGACTAGAATTCTAAGTGTGTCAAAAATATAATCAAAATATCACACACTGTTTCTATGAAATGACTAGAAAATGAAAGATCAGGAAGGTGCATTTAAAAAAAATTGAGAAGCAAAATCCACTGCCACTAGAATTCTTCTTCCTTTTTTGTTTTTGTTTATAATGGTGGCGTCCGGGCCAGCTTGTGCACCTCAACTATTCCGATGGATTTTTCTCACAAGAACATGTATTAGGTAACTCTGCCTGTCAAGGCTTGGGAAGAGGGAAAAGAGCATGTAGTGTTTTCTGCCTCTACGGGGCTTTGAACTATGGTCTCTAAGGTTTGCAGTTTGCACTCACTTCATTGACCACTAAGTCAGTGCCGTTATGATTCTAATATAGTACCCAATATATTGCATGATGTTAGAAATAACTCTCGATGGTAAATATATTAGCATAATGTAAAAGAAAATCTCAATGGTTTTTAAAAAGTAGAAAAAGAAAATGGAACAAAGAACAGGAAAGACTGGATAGAACTCACATCATCTGCAGATATCTTTATCTGCAGTTTGTCTTTGCATTCCGGGCATTTCATCACACCCTGCAGAATAAGTGGTATCATTAGCAACAGCCATTGCTTAAGTTCCAAAAAGTTTGAACAGTTCTTACTTAAGAGTTAAGACTAGGCATAGGTGGATATCAAAGATCATGTGAAGCATAATGACTGCATCCAGATTTAACACAATTGACACAAATCCAACTAAAGGAAATAATGAAGCTTGTGTGTGCAAGAAAATAATACAGTTCTTAACTCATAACATACTAGACTAAAAGGAAGCATCATGCATAATCCAAATTCATTGATATAGTATCAAAACAGCCTCTATTTAACAAGATTACTGAATAATAGGATGAGCTCCAAAACCACTCAGGTTCCATCATGCATATCGAGGTGATATCAAAGCTCAAATCAGGTTACACATAAAGGTCTGGTTCTAGATTATCGGAAAACTATCTTCATGAGCTAGGGCTATGGGTTCTTGTGCAGGATTCAACCTAATTACCTAAGTGATTGAACTTACGTGCTTCTAAGTCGTCTTCAAAGTCATATCAACTAACAAATATTACCTATTAACTAGTAGAAGCATGGGAAGATACAGTTAAAATCAAATGAAGGCAGTGTTGTCAAAGGCGAAAAGCACAAAAAGCTTTAAGGTCAGTCAGACATTTAAGAATAAAGAAAAAAAATACAATAATATATGTGCAGTCAAAGACTAATAATTCTAAAGCATGAATAACAAATCAATGGAAAAAGAAATTAAGATAAAGTAAATAATAATTGTGTAATGTTGCCTCTTCAGGATAACACTCATTGATAGGGAGAAGTATCAAGTATGCCTTGAAGCCTCAATCACTACACTGAAGCGCCCACTAAGCGAGGCAAAGTGCTCAGCATGTTTTGTGCGTCGCTTCAGGTCTTAACATGCTTCAGGCGAGCCTTTGACAACACTGAATGAAACTACAGATACATGCCACATAAATAACATGAGCCAAGTTGATTTCTGGTTAGGCTTGGCTTTACTTATTCAATAAGCCCTATTCTCAACTTGGCTTTCCATAACAAATGAAACTCTATATCTTTACCTTGGCATTTTGGATGGTTTCTCAAGCCAAAAGAACTACTGGCATGACTCACTCAGTTTATTTTCAGCCCTTAAGAAGCTATATTATGAAATTTGAAAAAATTGCCAAAACAGTTCTCACCGATCCATCACAACTGGGACATTCTTTAGATGGCAGTGGCAAGTGAAGGTCCACTGTGGAAGGAAGATGCACCAACTCAGCTCTGTTATCAGCTATCGCATCAGCAATGGATTCAGCTGTGGCTTTTTCTCCCCTGTATCAGTAATTTGGAAGCTTTAAATAGACATAAATATTCAGTGTGTTTGACATTATCTTCATGTCCCTAGAATAATTTATGATTTTTCAGAACTATGATGATTAATAACATAAAACAAGAAGAAGGTGGCTCAGTACACCAACATGATGATGGTGATGTTTTGAGCTACCAACAGCAATTACACGAGCCACTTTGATTGCCGAATCTGAATTAAGAAACCTGAAGACTAGAATGTGTTTTAACAGTCACATGGGACGTGGGAGAAGAAGAAGGTGAAAGCACTTCAGTATATCTTTTAAGAGTATGCAGTTCAGAATATGACAAAAACCATAATGTTGTTCTAGAAATTGGATTAATACATAAAATGTGAACAGGATGTTCATTTTAACAGCAAGAGTACAAGTTTATCAATGATTACCTACCTTTTCAATGTGTAGTTCTTCACTTGGTAATGCACTTTGCCTGATCCTTTGCACATTGTGCACTGCAACGCCTGCCACCCACAGCATGTCCGGCAGTCCCTGCAGTCAATGAACCAAGCATCTTCTTTCAATTACACATGTCATCACCTTACATATCAAGACATGCCAGTTGACTATAAATTTGACAAGCATTTCAGCTTCCCTTCAGTAAGCACAAATAAGATGCTCTCTCACTTTAACTTCAATTTGTGATTACCACATCAGCTTGTGCATAAGGACATCGAGACCACCAATGAGCACAGAAGACAAATATCTGATATCTATAAGACAAATATCTGATATCTATCGAGCTCATAGTCCATTTAAAGTAAAATATGGATTGAAAAACCAAACCTATGAAAGAATGTGAGCATTCAAACCTATTCCTTAAGGTAATGGATGGAGTTGCCTGATACCTTTAATCTTCGATGCCCTTTTACACACGATGTGCATATCAGCAAAAAAACAAAACTTTTGACATGGACCATTTATCAATTTCATTATTTCTAATATAAGACACTTCAACTTCAGGAATATAAATTCTAACAAAAGTAAACATGAGCTAAGACTATAAGGGCACCTCTGGCTGATCACCTTCTTTCCGAGCTCCATTGCAATGTCATAAGTACCCAGAGTAGCTACCACCTGCAGTAAAACACCAAATATCTCTGTTAGGAGAAACCTTCACTGAACAAATACTTTCAGCCTAAAAGTCGTTGTATTAATCTCCGGTCATCACCTCTCTTACATATTACTTGAAGACTCAATCCAGGGAATGCTGAAAAAAACTTCCTATTCATGGGATCCTAGTGATATATGAACAAACATTCAAAGACACAGTCGAGGCATTCCAGTGAAACATGAACATATATTGAATACCCAGTTCAGAAATTCTAACAACTAGACTGTTCCATTCATGGTCTCTCAGTGACCTATGAACAAACATATAAAGACCCAAATCAGGAAGAAATGCAGACAACAATGCTTCTCAAGTTATGGACGAGAAAGTGTGGTGAGCTTCCAGTGATTTATGAACAACTAAATTAAAGCCCAGTTCATAAGACACTGACCATTGGTTCCCCCATTCAAGGCCTTTCAGTGAAACATGAACATATATTGGAAGACCCAATTCAGAAATTTAACAACTAGACTGTCCCATTCATGGTCTCTTAGTGACATATGAACAAAGACCAAATCCAGGAAGAGATGCAGACAATTATGCTTCTCCAGCAATGGACAATAAAGTCCGGTGAGCTTACAGTGACATTTACACTCATATTCATAAAACACCGGCAAACCGATCCCCCATTCGAAGCCTTTTCAGTGACACGTGAACATACATTTGAAGACCCAATTCAAAAATACTAACAAATAGACTGTCACATTCCTGGTCTCTCAGTAACATATAAACAAACACTTAACGAATCCAGTTCATAAAACACTGAAAACTACCTTCCCCGTTCAAGGCCTTTTCAGTGAAACACAAACATAAATTTAAACACCCAGTTCAGAAATTCTATCAAACATACTATCCCATTCACATCCTCTCAGTGACATATAAACAAACACTTAACGACCATTAAGTAAAAAAAAAAAAAAACAGAAAGTAACACTTCCCCAATTACATACAAGAAAGTGCGGTGAACTTACAAAGATGGTCGAATAAGAGAGCTTAGAGATGAATTCAGGTACACCGAAACCTCTCGGAGCAGAGCCGGCAATGTCATATGCAAGTGTAATAGGTGAAAGAACAAGCTTTATTGGAAATTCGAAAATGTCAATGAGTTGCTGTCCATAGCGGCTACTGAAGTACTTGTATTGAAGGTCAGTGAATTGCTTCAAATTCTTCAGTAAGCGATCAGTGCCTCGAGACATTGCTCAAACATTCAACTAGTTGAAGAAGAAGAAGAAGATGGAAAAAAGGATAAAGAGGGAGATAGGCGTATTTCAAGCTCAGTTGTGTAGGGATAGGATTTGGGAGTACCATTTTTTATTTTCTACTAATTTTTTTTTAAAATGAAAACGGAAATCCGCAATAGCTATTTTTGAATTTCGTATAGTGTAAAAAATTCTATTTTTATGCAATAGCTCATAAATCATTCGCGAATCACATATGAGAGTTGCCTAGTGCGACGGCAAATCTGTTGCTTTCACTGACAAAGAGTTTCGAACTTCGAAGAATTTATTGTATTATTAAGCGATGAAAATAACTTTTTGAAAAAATATGAGGTAGAAATATTTATATATAGTTTCATATGGAACATTTTTATGAATACAATTTCACTATAAAGTTTTAATAAAAATAGTTCTCACTTCAAAATATTTTGCAATTTTTATTTTAATTTTTAAGATGAATTACTTGATCGATGAATAACTTTAATACTACAGAATTTAAAAATATTTATGATTAACAACATGAGTCAATCGATACGTAATAAACTCATATCTTAAATTAATGTAACTAACATTTATTTTATAATAAGGTTATACATAAGACCAAATATTGCATAAACTATAAGAAAGCATAAATATCAAAGATTCTAGAAATTCGAGTGAATTAATTTATTTTTCGATTCTTTAATTAATCGAAAATTCAATTCTTCGATTCGATATTCAATGTGAGGATCAATATTCTTCGATGCAACGAATAGTCAAATTGTTTATTAAATATATTTAAAAATAATATTTATATTACATTTAATTACATATTTTGACCCAAAACATTTTTAATTTTGAAACTCAACCCATTTAAGAAGATTGGGAAAATATATAAATTGGTGTATTTTAATAAATAATTACTGGTTTTAACAATACTTTTTACTTATTACTATTTATAGTAACATTATGTTAAATATGCAATATGAATTAAAAGTGAATTATGTATGCAATATATATGAATTATAATTGTTTTTGAAATATATTATGCTTGTTTGATAAAAATTTGAGACATGGTTTTATAAATGTATTAAAACGTGTGATAAATGTATTATCCATCATTAAAATTTATATTATATGTAAATAATAAATTGTTCTTTGTAATATGTATTAAACTTTTATTATAAATGAATTAAAACTGATCTAATGAAAAAAAAATACTCCCTCTCTTCCTATTTAGCTGTCCACTTTAGAAAAAGACCCACATATTAAAATAACAATAATTAATATGGTGAAGTTATAATTTTACCCTTCTATAAACTGTAATTTTAAGAATTAAAATGTATAAATTTATAATTTTAACTTTAATTATAAGATAATTTAAAATATTTTATTTTAATTTTTTTATTCTTTCTTGACTTGTCAAAATGGACAAGTAAATAGAAATTTAAAAAAGAAAATATGGACATAAAAATATATTATGACTATAAATAATAAATATTTTTTTTATTATAATATATTTATTAAAGAGATTTAAGTTTAGCCCAAGCCCTATTTGTATTGAGAGAAGAACTCATCTGATTCACTTTTCTGTTCTCACTTCTTTTCGCGCGCTCAGCAGCAGCCAATAAGCCAACAATTGCCTCTCACCGGAGCAGCAATACTCACCGGAGAAGAGATCGCCGGCGACCAGCAAGCAGTGTATCTATCAGTCTATCTTCTCAGCACCAGTAGGAAAAAACTGTGTTTCTGGCTTGCTGTCTGGTAGTGTTCTTTTTTTTTGGATTGTGTTGTTGAGTGATGCTACTACTGCTAGAAATGATTGATTTTTGACTCTATTGAATGTATTAGCTTCATGTTAAGTTAAATGTTATGATAATTTTGTTCTCATTTTATTTCTCACTTGCACCGAAAAAAAGTTTGAACTTTTACATTACCAAACTGAAGAACTGAATACCCATCACTAGCAGAAACCAGAAATTGCCACATTTGATTATTTTGCGTGCTGTTAGTTTCTGACTTCTCGCTCGGTTTGATTGTTTGAATGCTCATTATTGTTTTGTTTGTGCATGTTGTAATTTCAGAAAGCAAAAAACCGAATAAGAAATTGTGATTCAGTTCAGTTTCGGTTAACATTTTCACCAATCGAAAACTGAGAAACCAAACTGAACTGACTGAATGCCAGTCCTAGTTGTCACCCTTCTTTCAAGAAAAAAATGTTACTTGATAGCTCTTTCCTTCATTTAATATTGTACTGAAATCAATACTTGTTATTGATTTAGTGTGGTGGTTGTTGTCTAACTTGTTACTTAATTCATTTGTTGTAGCCTTGAGGTCACTGTTAACTATAGTAGACTTTTAGCTAGCTTACTCTAATCCTGAATACTGATGTCTACTCTCTTTTAGAAATGTATTCACCAAATGAACATCCTCTTACAGACCCGCTTGCAGAAAACAATCTTCAGGTTCATAGCAATACTACTTTATCCATTTTTTTTTGTAAATATTTTGTTTAGAGAATGTAACTGCTTTTGGATGTTTGCTCCTGTGGAAATTCATAGCCATTCTTCGTGCTGCACAAGGCATCAAAGTCTTCAGAGTCTACTGCAGTAACTCCTGGAAGATCCACTAAAAGAAGACTTGACTCTTCATCAAAAGTATCATTAAGCAATGAGAACTTGAAAATGGAAGCTTTCCGATGTGTATGGTCAAAAATCGAATCCAAGATTAAGGTTCTTCTTTCCCGATTTTGTTCCTGAAATGTTATAGATATTTTCGTTGATCCAATTCAGTGTAAATTAAGTGATGCTAAATTGCTTATTTCTTGATGTTTGAGAATTGAATTTAGGATGTCTTGAGGAGTATAAATGCCGGCGTGTTTGATGAGATAGGACAATGGGTTCGTGAATCTTTTAATGAAATTTGTTCGTGCAGAGGGCCTGTTGATCCATCAAAGTCAAGTCTTCCATACCCTTTTGTCCATAATGGTGGTTTAGTTAAAAAGCTCTTCACTGGTCTGGTCTTCACCAGTAAGTTCATTTTTCATTTATTTTAGACGTTTAGTTTGCAAATATGAAACTATGCTGATGGTAACCAATATCTGAGATCTTCTATTTTGTTTTTCTGAAAAGATTTCTTATCTCAACTCCTCCCATAAATTTGTTGTGTTCCTTTTCAAGAATGTTGTTCAATTGTGTGAATTATGGCCAGACCACCTAACCCTGATTTCCGATTCCCAACTTTACCTGATTGTTCCTGTTAATAAAATTTTATGAATGGGTAGTTGTTCACCCGTGTTGATCAGTACATTCTTGGATTATTTGCAGAGAATATTGAAACTGTCGATGACATATTAACTTTTGCTGAACTTGGTTTACACTTGAAATCTCATGGATGCTATGTGGCTAATATTTCCTCCTTTGATTTTTCTACCAAGAATGGCATTGGGGGCTGTCTCAGAGCATTTCTGAGACAATTACTTATGGTTGACATTGAAGTAAGTAGACAATTAACTCTATAATTATGCACATATTTAATTAGAACTAAGTCTTGTGTGACATCTTTATTGTTATTCACTATCGTCATTGTTTTTTATTCTAAGGCAGCTGATGTTTCGCTCTTAGCATCATGGTATAGTGACCATGGCAAGTATGAGAAACCAGTGGTTGTAATTATTGAGGATATGGAGAGGTGTTCTGGGGCTATCTTATCAGATTTCATCAATATGTTAAGGTACTGTCGTATATTGTCAGCACATAGCTATCTACTTTCAAGCATAATTAAAGCAAGAGTTGCAACATAACTTCTTCAAGATGGTGTATTTTACAATTTTAATTGCAGAAAAGGGTCATATTTGCCCCTTTACTTTCAAATATTTTTCATACTCATCCTCCGTTTCACTATTATACATATCCTTACTGCTATGCTTTGAACCAAATATACCCCTTATCGGCTTATCCATTAAATGTCCGGGTCCCAGCCTTAAAATAGACATGTGGAGATTTGATATTAATTGAAAGGACCCAGATCATTTTGCCGCATCCTGCTTTTCTTTTCTAGTTAAAATTTTATTACTAGAATCTGGTTTCTGCAGGTATGTCATTAGAATTTCGTTGCTAAATTTTGGGAACTTGGAGATCTGATTTGATTTTTGTGGAAGTTTTGTTGGTTGCTGCCTGTAAGGTTTCTCTTTCAGTATTTTGTGTTGGTTACTGTAGTGTAGATTTGTTTAAAATAGAGGATAACAAGTCTGTGTGTCAAAAATTACAGACATAGACTATATGGTTCTAATTATTTGGAAGTAAGACTTTAGTTACCAATTTCAAAAAAATAATTTGAGATGAAGTAAGACTATTTGGTTTATGCTCATTTGGTTGAAGGCCACCTACAAATGAAACTAAGAGCCTGTTTGAATTGACTTATTTTAAGAGCTTTTTTGGCAAAATAGCTTTTAACACTTTGGTAGTGTTTGGGTAAAATAAAGACAAAAATAAGCCCATCAAACAGGTTTTTTAAAAATAAACACAGTTGAGAGACGATGCATGATTACAACAACATATCCAATGAATTCCACTAAATCCTAATGATAGTGAAGTTGGTTCGACTATGCATTGTGAATTTCTCAAAGGTTTGATGGATTATTTGGAGTTTTTTTATTCTAACAAAGGGAATATGTCTCAAGTTTATGATGTGTGCAAGAGTTCCTATTTTGTTGAGAAAAGGGGATTAATATGTGACAGCTTATTTCATGGACTTCAAGAACTCCTATGAGGAACCAATGTTGATTGTCAGTTTATTCTTGAGAATATTCCCATTGGCTACATAAAGACAATATAGCAACTAGTTGATTTGTTCACAAAGGTGTTGACCAGAACTCGAGTTGATTACTTTTGTAACAGGCTGAGTATGATCAATATTTATGTTACATCTTGAAGGGGAGTGTTCTAGATGGATGTAGACGTACTTTGGTATAATGTACATAGTAGCAAATATTAGAAGATTCAAAGGATTTGTATTTTTAGTCTGCCCTTAGTTAGATCCCAGTGTAAACTTTTTTATACTGTACATCTTTGAATAAGAAACAAATTATTCTCCCATACC